TGACAGCGTTATCAAACTACACATATTAAAATGTAGCCACATCCCAAAGTTCTAACTTTCTTTTTTCATATTTTGCCTTTTAAATTGCTTGACCAGCAATTCATTTTATAGATGATTAACTATGATTCTTTGGCAATTACATGTGCTTGGAAATGTTTACAAAGAAAAAGATTCTTACTGTACTGTTTTCAATATTCTAACAATGAAGGTGGGAAGCGGTTTATTTTGAGAATAATTATTTTTGCCCTTTTCTTTGCATAATTTGGAGCCAGTATTGATTTTCCTGTTGTTTTTGTTTTTCAATCCTCACCCAGGATATTTTTCCATTTATCTTCAGATAGAGTGGGAGGAATGAGAGAGAGAGAAAAACATCAATGTGAGAGAGACACATCAACCGGTTGCCTCTCGCATGACCCGGACCAGGGCTGGGGATGAACTGCAACCAAGGTACATGCCCTTGACCAGAACTGAGCCCGCGACTCTTCGGTCTGCAGGGCAATGCTCTAACCGCTGAGCCAAACCGGCCGGGGCTCCTGTTTGAGTGGGGGGGGGGGTGGGCTGGGGCAAACATTTCCAGTGGGTTTTTCAAAGTTTACACGTCTTAGCACAATGCCTTTAATTGCCTCACAGGTAAAATAGAGGTCCAGGAACCAAGCACACTCAGCACTTAAAATAGCCCGAGGTCAGTTGTCGCGACCTGATACTGGATCCCTACATGACGAGAAAGAGCTTTAAACGTCCTCGTATTCCCAGACGCAGCAGGAAGAGGCGGCTGCCCCTACCCTTTCTCTACCCCCGAGACAGACGAGTTGCCAAATGGCCACCAGAGAGCCGGCAGCAGTCTTGCGGCTCTCACAGCCAAGGAGACAGGGTATCCAGAGTGGACACGTGAAGTTGCCACCTGTACTATAATTGCTGGGCTGGTTCACTTTCCTTCATCTTTAAATTGGCCTCTGAGTTCTAGAAATTCACTTACTGCCATTGATTTGAATATACATTTCCTAAACTGTAGCAGAAAGTATTAAAATCAATCTGAATATTTTTGGATGTAAAGATCTTTAGAGGGTTAGAAATGGGGAGGAAACGCAGAAAGAAAGAATGCCCTGCCACGGCTGGTGTCACTCGGCGGTCAGGGTCAGCCCACACACCGAAGGTCGTGTGTTCAATTCCCAGTTGAGGGCGTGTACCTGGGTTGCAGGTTCGACCCCTGGTTTTGGTCAGGGCACGTGCAGGAAGCAACTAATCAATGTCTCTCTCTCTCTCTTCCCTCTCCCCCTCCTTCCCTTCACTCTCTCGAAAAACCAATGGGAAAAATTTCCTTGGGCCCAGCCAGCGTGGTTCAGTGGACTGAGTGTCCGTTCAGTGCACTAGGAAGTCACCGGTTCGATTCCCGGTTTAAAAAACATACTCTTGCAAACTAACCTTCCTGCCACCCCAAGCAAACATGTAAGAATGAGGGAGGGGTAGAAGAGGCAACTCACGCATCTACCCCTATTCCACAGAGGAAATCCAAGTGTGGAGAGGTGAGCTTTGTAAGGTCGTAACAGATGGTCAGGAGCTGAGCTGGGCCAGAAAGCAAGTCACCTCCTGAGATCACCATCACCTCCCTGCAGGCCCACAGAAGGGCCTCAGCAGAGCAAGGTGCACATCCAGAACCACCGGCATCAGGACCAGGAAGAGGAGTCGAAACACTCAGAGCTGGCCCACTGATAGGTGCTGTGCCAAGGCCTTGCCTCAAGCTTGGGGTCACCATCTGACAGGACTGGCCAGATGTGACAAAGAATTAAAGCAGCCCCAAACCCAGGCAGCCCACGACAAAATGACAGCTTTTATTTGCTGAAAGTGAAAGAATGATGTGGTTTGGCCTCTGTGAGATGCCAAACATTGATAAACTGTTCCACTGAAATGCTTCTTAGAGCTAGCCAACTAGAGTACAGAAAGACCTGGCTTGCCTGTTGGCATTCCATTAGTCATGTCTGCACACAGGCCAGAGCTGTCTGCACGGGACATCCTAACTAGGCACAGGCTGCTACTTCTCGTCCACTCTGGAGCCAGGCAAGGAGGAGTGGAGACCCAGGTTGGGCTACGGTCTGTGTGGTTGCTTTCCACTCATCACAGACTGGCAAATTGCCCACGGGGCCTCCACAGGTCCCCAACAAGGTACCAGCAGGAAAACTCAAGGGAATCCCACAGCCTAATCCTCTCACCATGGCCCAGGCCCCCAGTAGATCCATTTCTTCACCCTGCCTTGGTCCCCTCACCTCACCCAGATGAACCCCTTGGGCCCAGCCAAAACTGGTCATTTATTACCCTGGTGTTGCCTTTTCTCCCTGTACTTTTGATTTTATCCACTTCTTCAACCTCCCGTTCCATTCTGCCTGCTTCCTTCCCTGCCTTTGGCACCCTCAACTCTTCCCCAGCCACCATCACCTGGCTGCCAGCACTGGCCCCTCTGAGGAGCCTCCCAACTCACGACCTCCCACACAAGATGGGAAATGGCCATCTTCCCTTACGGAGTGACAGTAAAAGGACAGGCACCATGGTGCAACTTAATTTTGGGTTTTTTGTTGTTGTTGGGTCTGTAATCAGTGATGTCCTTCACCATTTTTTTTTATCAGAAAAGATTAAAAGACAAAAGAGGCGTGGCTACCCTAAGAGGGTAATTCTGGATTTCCACAGAGCCTCCTGCTGCTCTTTCCCCATCAACACACCATGTTGCAATACCCTAGCTTCCTCCCTCTCCTTATCAACTGTCTTGTTGAATACGGTGGAATAATCACGACCAAGGGGGCCAGCTGGTGTTTGCGCAGATGCAGATGAAGGGCGATGAAAGGCCAAAGCAGGGCCTGGTAAACGACAGGACGGCAACGGCATGATCCCGCCATGGCCCCAATGAGGCCATGCTTAAAAAGAAAAAACATCACTAATCTCACTGAGTGGTCTATCTCTGTCAAGGGCAGCAGCCAAGCCAAAGCAGAAAACCAAGCCCAAAATGCTGGCTCTCTCATCACACCACCCCTGGGGTAGCTGGACCAACCAGGAGCTAAGCTAAGAACAGGGCAGAGACCACGAGAGCTGCATGCCACCAAGATGTACCAGCAACCTGCACAGGATGGCTTCTTCCCAAGGGGTGTTGCTTCTCTTGGGCATTTAAGAAAAAGGGCTGGGAGCAGGCTGTTTAAATAAATATTAAATGTGTCCTCTTTTTGGTAATATCATCACCACCACTGCCAGACAGTCCCACTCCAAAAGCATCTGTGCCAGACGGAGCGCTGGAAACCAACAGACACTTCTGTGTTCCAGCAGACGGGCACATGTTCCTTCCACTGCTCGCGACGACGTGCCTGGAGTCTATATGCCACCCTAAAGTGACCAACGGCATCATTTCCACAGCTTGCTCTAAGGGACAGAAAGCTCCTGTAGAACAGTATTTGACAAGCGGCCCCTTCGCTCCGTACCGAGTGTGGGAATGCGGGTTCATGCGTCAACAGCACTGAGTAAGATTACAGCATGTGAGGTATGCAAAGTGCTCAGATGATGAACTGAGATTCCCAGCCCCTGGCTACTCACATACTAATCTAGGTACTGCTGTGAACAGATGAACTTAAGATAGGAAGGTTATCCAGGTAGGACTATGACATGAGTCATTTAAAAGCAATGTTTTCCTCAGGTACAAGAGGAAGTCTAATTCAAAGCACATGAAAGACCTGAGGCACCCCTGCTGGCTTGTAGGTGGAGGGAACCAAGTTATGAGAAATGCGTGCAGCCTCTATAAGCTGACAGTGGTCCCCACCAGCCAGACTCGAGAACGCCAGTCCTACAACCTGAATTCTGCCTGCTGAATAAACCAGAAGTACGTTCTTTCTCAGAGCCCAGCACCAGGTGACACCTTGACATCAGCCTTGAGACCCTAAGCAGAGAACCCAACCAAGCCTACCAGGACCTCTGACCTACAGAGCTAAGATGACAAATGGGTTATTGTTTTAAGCTTCTAAGTTTGTGCGCATTTGTTAACGCAGCAACAGAAATCTAATACAGCATGTAAAGCTCTCAGCAAGCAGAGTGCACCGTTCAAGATGGCCTTCTTCAACGTCAGCCCTCTATCTCCACGTCCTCCCACACCCCCGTCATCACAGCACGGACCTCCTCGGTCCCCTTTCACTGAAAACGAAAAGGGTGCCGAGAGGACTGGGGAGGCAAAGACTTTTCATACTTCAAAAGCCCACCCCAAGTGGAGAATACATCTGGAATGCTAGTAGGAAGAAATAAATCTTTCTCCTTCAACCAACTCCAACACTGTACACACAACCTTAAGTGTTCCTGCACGTTCTTGCTGGGGAGGCCCTTACCTGGGCCCCTTCTCATAACTGTGCCGAGCAGCAGTCTGGAGGGATGGAGCAGTGTCTGCCTGGACGAGAGCAGGCGTGCTGTGGGGGCAGAGTGCCCAAGCACGCAGGTGCTCGGCTGTGATGCAGACCCACTGTGTGCATGGCACCTTCCTGGGATCCCTCCACGTCCGCGGTGGGACTGGGGAGAGGAGAAACCACACAAATGGAAGCTCACGCTGCTTGCTGTGCTCTGGTGACAAAGTTCTTTATCTCTGACTGAGGACTCTGTCTTCTGCTAGAATCCCCAAAATAGTAATAATCTAACTTATTAGCTTATAAGTAAGGCAAAATGCCAGACTCTGACACTATGACCTTTAAGCCGGGAGAGATCTAATGCCTTTATATTATAAATTTCAAAGGAACAAAATATCCTTTTTAAATTTTCTTGTGGAGATAATAAAATCAACATCATTGCATTATTGTGAATAAAATAAGAAAAGGTATTGCACACCTGAGCTACAGAAAATATCCAATAACTTTCAATGAACCCAGGCACTCATCCCCCCACGTACATACACTGAGACAGGCAGGGAGCGAATCTGTCTCCAAGATAGCAGAGTCCATTCCGAAGACAAGGGATGAAATGGCCTAATACACCATTTTCTGAAATTTGCATAACACCGCACTACTCATAGTTTCCACCGTTATTACCCCATTTAATCCTTACACAGAAACCAAGGTTCGGAGAGGTCAATCCTTGCAGAAAGAATAGTAACAGACGCCACAGGTCTGGAAAGGGCCACACGACGGGAGCCCAGGGGTGTGGGCTGAGGAAGCACTGTTGGAAAGCATCTTGATGTTGGTCTAGTAGCATGACTGTCCTGAAGGCACGTTCCTGGGGCAGGTAAGCCAAGGGAGCTCATCACCACAGGGCTCCTGAGGAATGTCAGTACCACCGGAGAAATGGCAGAAACCACATGATAAAAAGATGTCTTTTATTTGCATATTTTGATTGTTTTTAAATGGAAAGTTAAGAAAGGCCTTAATATCAGAGGCCATGCTGTCATGGACGAAGTTGGACTTGGTGTCTTTGGGTGCTTGTATTCTGTGACAGTATCACTTGAGGGTCTTGCTAAGGTTGGAGAAGCCAATGCCAACGCAGGTCATCAGCACTTTATCCCCACCCTTGCGTTCTTCATCACATGGTTTGGTTTCGATTTTAAACATAATCTGGAAAAAGCTCTTCAAATGCCGCAAAAATTCTATCCTAAAAAGAAAAAAAAGAGGGAAGAATGAAAGAGAAATTTGATTTGTAAAAAGTTCTTCTCCCACCCAGAACCCAAGTTTAATTTCCCAGATCAAGAGGAATGATCAAAAGTAAGAAATTCTCGTCCAGCTGATCAAACAGTATTTCTTTACAGCTGTCACAGTGGACAGAAACGGCTCCATCTCTGGGTGGCTCCTGCAGAGAGAAGCTCACACTGCCGTGTGCACAGCGTCCTGAGCTAAAACCAAGGAGAATGATTACAGCTGATGCCAAAACAGAGAAGTCTCTTCATTCCTCAACCTTGATAACGTCCTTCCATTCATGTAACAAACATTAGCTGAATGCAATACAATGTGCCGGCACGGTTCTTGGTGTTGAGGTGTCGCAGTCAACTACAAATCCCTCCTCACATGAAGTTTTCAATCTAGTGGCACAGACATAAATATTCTTGAAAAGGGAAATTTAAATAACATAAACAAGGCAGAGGAGAAGGAAAGGTGGGTATAACAATACATGTGTGCACATGGCAGGAGGCAGTCGTGAATAAGGTGGCCAGGAAAAGAGCTCACAGTAAATATGGTGGGAAGTTTCATGGGGCTGTTTCTTGTCATCTCCCTTAAGACAGAGCTATGGCTTCACTCCAAGAGAACCTCGGGAACAGCAATTCTGTGGAAGGACCATGGTACAGGAATGTAGACCTCTACTGGTCTGGCCGAGTACATGAAGCATCGCCCCAGCTACCTTGACCATAAGTCTCACCTGGAGAATTCATTAAACATACAGGTTCCTGAAGGTGCTGATCAACTGACAACTGACAGGAAAGACATGTCCATGTGGAAGAGCTAAAAACCACAGGCCACACTCAGGGACGCCCCGCTCCCCACCCTTTCCCAGGCCCTGTCTCTCAGTGTAGAGGGGCAAGAAATCTATTAGTTAGAAGCACCATGGTGATTTTTTTTTTTTTATCCTCACCCAAGGACACTTTTGCACTCATCTTCAGATAGAGCAAGAAGGAGGAAGACAGAGAGAGAAACATCGATGTGAGGGAGACACATCACGTGGTTGCCACCCTCATGACGCCAACTGGGGCCAGGGACAAACTGCAACTGAGGTATGTGCCCTCAGCAGGAACTGAACCTGGGACTCTCTGGTCCGCAGGCCAAATTCTAATCACTGAGCAAACTGTCCAGGGCACCCCTGGTGATTTTTATCGGCAAGTTTGAAAAGCACTGGTTTAATTAAGAGCAGATGGTCTGCATACCTGTAATAAAGTATTCTAGCAACCTTGTGTTACGTTCCCTGCCAACTGAACCATCCAAACTCCCTACCCCAGCCAGATGGTTCCCAGCTCCAAATATACATGGAATCACCTGAGGAGCTTTCAAAATACGGATCCTGACATGCTGATCAGTAGAACATTCCGGAACTGAGAGTCAAGAAATAAACCAACTCATCTACGTTCAACTGATTTTCAAGATAATTCAACAGGGAAAGAATAACCCTCTCAACGAATGGTGCTGAAACAACTTCACACGGGCCCTTTCTTCACATCATACACATGAAAAAACTCAATATGGACCCAAAATCTGCATGTATGAGCTAAAAGTATGAAACTCACAGAAGAAAACAGCAGTAAACCTTCATGATCTTGGGCTAGGCAATGATTTCTTAGATAAAGCAGGAAAAGCAGAGTGATAAAAGAAAAAAATGAATACATTGGACTTAGTAAAAATTAAAATCTTTTGTGGACACAATCAAGAAAGCCAAAAAACAAGTCCCAGGACACAAGCAAATCATATATTTGGTAAGGGTCTAATATATAGAACATATATATAAAGAACTCTTACAACTCAATAATCAAAAACCAAATAACCCACCCGGCCAGTGTGGCTCAGTGAATTGAGCATCATCCCATGAACTGAGAGGTCCCGGTTCGATTTTCGATCAGGGCACATGCCAGGGTTGTGGGCTCCATCCCCAGTAGGGGATGTGCAGGAGTCAGTCGACAGACGTTTCTCTCACATCTGTGTTTCTCTCTCTCGCTCCCTTCCTCTCTCTAAAAAATCAACAACAAAAAAACAAAACCAAGTAAGTGTTGTTCCACTTATTGGTTGCTTCTTGTATGTGCCCTGACCAAATAAACCAATTTAAAAATGGGTAAAGCACCCTGGCTGGTTTGGCTCAGCGGTTATAGCATTGCCTGCAGACCAAAGAGTCCCAGGTTTGGTTCCCACTAAGGGCACGTCCCCACCCTGGTTGGGGTTGTGTGGGTGGCAACCAGTCGATGTGTCTCTCTCATGTCAATGTTTCTCTCTCTCTCTTTCTCCTTCCCTTTTTCCTTCCTGCTCTATCTGAAGATAAATGCAAAAATGTCCTTGGGTGAGGATAAAATATAAATTAAAAAAATAAATAAAAATGGGTAAAGGATCTGAAAGACATTTCTCTAAAAATGATATACATATAGCCAATAAGCACATGAAAACATGTTTAACATCTTTAGTCATTAGGGAAGTGAAAATCAAAAACACTATGATATACCACTTCACATCCAACAGAATGGTTACAATAAACAAGACAGATAATAACTAATGTGTGTGTCAGAACATTATCACATGAAAAACACTCAGGCAGTTCCTCAAAATGTTAAACAAGGAATTATGATCCAGAAATTCCACTTTTGGGTATATACACAAGAGAAATGAAAACACACACCCACACAAAAACTCATATACAAGTGTACAAAAGAGCATTACTTGTAACTGTCAAAAAATAGAAACAACCCAAATGCCAATTAACTGACGAATGGAAAAACAAAATGTGGTATATCCATATGCTGGAATATTATTCAGCCATAAAAAAGAACAAAATAGTGACAAAGGCTACAATATGGATGAACTTTGAAAATATACTAAGTGAAAGATGCCACTCACCAAGGAACCCACTATATGAGTCTATTTATACGAAATGTACAGAACAGGCAAGTCCATGATAGAGGCAGAAAGCAGATTCATGGTTGCCTGGGGAGGGGGGGTAGTGGGAAGAAAGGGTTGTGAATGGGCAAAGGGTTTCTTTCCAGGGTGGTGAAAACATTCTAAAATTAGATTGTAGTTATGTACTTTGTGAAATTTATGAATATACTAAAAACCACTGAACTGTACACTTTAATGTGGCATATGAATTATATCTCAATGAAGCTGTTTAAAATAAGTAAATAATATATATGTGTGAAGTTAAAAAAAATATATTGACCCTGGCTCCCACCCTCATAGTATATACCAAACTAAGCACAAAGCCTACTGCAATGATTTTCTAGCCTTCTCTGTTTCTCTGTCCTAGTTGATCCAGTCAGTCAAAGGAGGAAAAGGCAAAAAGGAGAACAGGGGCCCAAACAATTCTTCTTTCTGTCTGGCTGACATAGCCGGCATGTCAGGGGTTAAAAAATGAAACAGGAACTGCTCACTGGACAGTAGTTCTGGTAAGCGCTGTATGCTCTCAGAAAAATTCCTTACTACATTTTTTTTAAGAGAGGGGAAAAGAGAGAGAGAGATTTGTTGTTCCACTTACTGGTTGCTTCTTGTATGTGCCCTGACCAAAGACCAAACCCACAACCTTGGCATATTGGGACAACACTCTAACCAACTGAGCAACTGAGCCACCTGGCCAGGGCAAATTCTCACTTCTTTACTCTCTTTCATTGAAACCCATTATGCCAAACTAAGTATAAAGCCTACTGCGAGGCACTATGTAAGGCACTTAATAATGAGGCCTGAGCTCTGACGGGTTTGCTTTAGCAGTGAGAGCGTTGGCCCGTGGATCAAAGAGTCATGGGTTCAATTCCAGTCAAGGGCACATACCTCGGTTGCGGTTCATCCCCAGCCCTGGTCCGGGTAGTGCAGGCAGCCAATCGATGTGTCTCTCTCACATTGATGTTTCTCTCTCCCCACCCCCCCAACTCTATCTGAAGATAAAATAGAAAAGAAATATCCTCGAGTGAGGATTTAAAATAATAATAATAATAATAAAATAATGAGACATGAAACAGAATTTTGAGAAATGAATTCAACACTCTTAGCAATTAAAGGGAAGTCAGTTCTTCCCCTGCTGGTTTTCCTGTCTTGCCAATTTTCAGTTTTTTGCTCTCTACCCCACCCTGTCCTAGGAAAAAAAGAAAAACATATCAAAGCCATAGATAAACAGTCCACATCTGGGGGCACAACGTCCAGCTGGCAACGGTGCAGACAGAGCAGCCATCTCACTCACTCATCTGCATTCCAAGGAGAAAACAGCTCACTCTCCCTCGCTGCTGTCTCGGCTCTTACACAGACCTGCTCCCAGAGCCTCCCAGCCACTTCACTGAACCATTCAGCTGTGCTGGAAAAACCAGACACCCTCCCGAGCTGGCAGAACACCTAAGAGGCCTCAGCTTGCTTCTGATCTCTTGGAGAAGGACAGGTTTGTGTGCAGGCCTACATATTTGCAGTTTTGTGGTATTTGGAATAGTTAGAAAAAGCAATGTCGGTTCCACTTTTTACATAATGTTCTGCCAACCCCTCAGCCTGTCTGAGGAGACTCTATAAGGGACTGGATTAAGGTATGTTTCAGAATGCCCTCCCACCTCCAGCCCCATTTTCCCTGTCTGCCATAGCTGGGCTTTCAAAGAGCACACATGCTCGGAAGCTGAGAAATAACCACAGACAATATTAAATCCTAACAGTTTTTAAGGGAAAAAAACAAACAAAGAAAAAATTCGCCCCACATCTACACACAGCTGAACAAAGTCATGTCTGCTGCTGGTCCACATCCTTCCCCACAGCCCACAGCTCTGTGTGGCTGCAGCCACGCACAGGCCCCACGAGGCCCACCTCCTCCCTCTCCTTCTCTTCAAACACACACCGTACTGTAGATACACACCTCTTAGACACAACCACGTGGCGGCAAGCCAGGCAAAGACAGCGCCAGGCACCTGGGAGCAGCTCTGCGCCTTAACAGGACCACCTGCG